TTCTTAGTCTTCAAAGCTTAAAATATTTACCATCTGGCCCTTTACTAAAAAGTATGTGCCAGCCTCTGCTCTTCAAGCAATGGATGAATTACAAATTTAAAAAGTTTTAAAGTGATTTTTGTTGTTTAGGCTTATATAATTATAGGAGTTTAAGTAGCAATGGGTCTAATTTTCAGCAGTTTTCTTAGTGTGGCACTCGCCTGCTGTTTGAGTTTTCAGTCTGTAGTGTATGGATCAGCAGTGTTAAGTATACCTAAGGTTGTGCAGCCAACCTCCGGAACCCCTCATCTTGCAAAACTGAAGCTCTGTGGCCATTAAGTAACAATTCCCCTTTCCCAACTTGTGGCAACTACCATTCTATTTTCTGTCTCTGAATATGACTGCTTTAGATACTTCATGTATTGTTTTGTGACAGGCTTATTTCACTTAGCATGTTCACAAAGTTCATCCATGTTGTAGCAAGTGTCAGAATTTCCTTCCTTTTTTAAGGCTGAATAATATTCCATTATGTGTATATACCACATTTTGTTCATCTGTCCGACGATGGACTATTGTGTTGTTTCCACCTTTTGGCCATTGTGAATAATGCAACAATGAACTTTGAGATTCTGCTTCTTATTCTCTTGGGTATATACCCAGAAGTGGGATTACCGGGTCATATGATTATTCAATTTTTAATGCTTTGAGGAACCACTGTACTGTTTTATATTCCCACCAGTGTTGACAATGTACTGATTTCTCCACATCCCCATCAACACTTATTTGCTAGTTTTTTTATAGTAGCCATTCTAATGGATATGAGGAGGTACTACTGCTTTTTTTAGAAAACTTAGATCATTTCAAACATATTTAAAAAGTAAAGATAAATATGTAAAGGACCGCTTACTCTCCAGTCCTGTGTATCCATCACCCAGCTTCCGTTATTACTAACTCATGACCAGATTTGTTTCATCTACTTCCCCCCTCCTTTGTATTACTGAACCAAATCCAAGACATGATAAATTTTATTTGTGAATGTTTCAGTATGTACCTCTAAAAGGACTTTATTTTAAAAAAATGTGTGTGTGTTTAGGGATCATCCCCATGAAATTTAACAATTCCTTAATACCAAAAAATATCCAGAAAGCAAATTCCAATTGTTTCATAATGTTACTATTTTTCTTATGTTTGAATCAAGATCCACATTTTGATCTTTTCAGTCATTGTTCCCATCCCCATCTTTTTCTCTCACAACTTACTCATTGAAGAAACCTGCTTTTATGGATTTTCTCATAATAATATAGATTGTGGTTGTTGCATCTTTATGACATGTATTTCTTGTGTTTTACATATTTCTTATAAATTGGTAATTGAAGCTAAAGACTTGATCAACTTATATAGCTAGATTTCTTTTTGGCAGCAAGTGAGATTACTTAATAGGTGATACAGTATGTTTTTCCATAGAAAGGCATGTAATGCTTGGTTATCTCTCAAAATATGTTTTTTTAAATATTTACTGTTAATATAATGTGGGAATTTTAGCAGAGTAATGTTTTGGTTTCAAAATCCTGAGGAGATACCAACATCTGAGGAATAGCTAATATTTAAAAATTAAAACATAATTTTTGGCAATTCTTCAGGTGATGAATGCAGTATTGGTTCAGCCACAGACTTGACTGAAAGTAGCTCCATGGTGGATGGGGATTGGACAATGGTGGATGAAAATTTCTCCACACTCAGTCTAACTCAGTCAGAGCTAGAGCACATCTCCATGGAGCTGGCGAGTAAAGGGCCTCACAAATCCCAGGTCCAGCTTCGGTGAGTTTCTCAGCATTTTGAAAGTACAGTTACCTACTCAAGATATTTGGTTAAACAGGGTACAGGGGCTACTTTTCTGATCATGATTGCCCATTAGTAACTTGTAGATTCTTCTTGGTATGAATCATTCTGTTTCTGCTTATATATAGGTATTTGCTGCACATCTTCATGGAGGCAGGATGTCTGGACTGGTGCACTGTCATAGGCCTGATTCTTAGAGAATCTGCAGTAATCAACCAGATTTTGGTTATTACACAGTCTTCGGAGGTAGATGGAGAGATGTTACAGAATATAAAAACAGGGCTACATGCAGTGGACCGATGGGCCTCTACAGATTGGTAAGTGCTCATTTCCTTAGGCTTTTTACATTGGCTGAATCCTGTCCTTTAACAGTAAGGCTTAGTTCTGGTTCATTTATATAGAGATTTTTAGATTGGTAGAAATAAAAACACTTGTATGTTCATTTTTAAGACTACATTTTCTTGAATTACTATTCCGTACCCAGCCATTTTAATGATAATTGTCCTTGAGATGGTGGTGGTCAGTTTATAAAGGGAATGTATGTCACTGACTTGATTGACTGCAGTATAAATGATCTTAGAATTAGACTGGAGCTTTTTCTGTGGTACTGAAGGTAATAACCTAAAAATGTCTACTTGCAAAAGTGAAAATTTGTAAGGTCTATGTGAATTTAACATTCCATAGCGGTTACTAGGAAGCCTGAATTAAGAGTAGTGGATAGAAGTTAAGAGCCTGGGATTCTAGCCTTTTGTCACCAATGAGGTCTAGCCTTTTGTCACCAATGATGTGTGATTTGGGCTTCCCTTACTTGGATCTAGTTTTCCTTAATTGATAAATTCATTTAGGTTAGATGTTCTCTGAAGGTCCTTCTTCGAGTCTAAAATCCTTTTGGTTCTTAAACTGTAGAATATGATTTTCAGTTGTAATACTGGATAAAGAATGTCAGTCTTTGCTTCTAAGTGCTCAGAAATCCAAGACTCATAGTTCACTGTGTGCAGCTCCCTGTATGCTGGCCAGGGCACCTACTTGCCCTTTCTTCTCTACCGCCCATACCCTCTCTTTCCTCCTATACCCTTCATTGACCTAACCAGTATCAGTGTAGAGTAGGAATTTGTCCATAACACCCTATGGAAGCTTTTGAGTATGGCAGATGAAAGCTAATTTCCTTTTTCCTCTACCTAGTCCTGGATATAAGCCATTTTTAAACGTCATCAAGCCACAACTACAGAAACTCAGTGAAATAACAGAAGAGCAGATCCAGCCTGAAGCCTTCCAGCCAGTAATTGTGGGTAAGACTCCTGAACAGAACAGCCCGCGGGCAGAGGAGAGCAGGGGCTCCTTGGGCCATGGAAGCATCCCCCAGGGCGAGGTCGGAGGTGGCAGTATGGTCAGCCGGAAAGAAGAGGACACAATCCGAGCTGAGGAGGAAGAACCTTTTCAGGATGGGACTTACGACTGTTCTGTGTCCTAACAACAGTGAGGTACCTTCACCATGGGCAGTATTAATTAGCAGCAGTGTGCAACTGAGGATACTGTGACCTAGTTGGATGATTTAACCAGGGAGAGAACTCAGCTCAGAGACTCTGGTAAGGTATTACTAAATTTTAAGAAATCTCTAACTCCATAAAAATGTGATATCAAATGAATCATTTTTCATAAAAAAAATTTTTTTAAGCTGCAGTGAAAAGTAATAAAGAATATTGTACAGATGTACATGAGAATATTTTGGTTTTATTCATAAAGGTTGGTAGCTCTTAAACCATAGGGATTGTTTTGCCCTTGATGAGTTTACTTTTTCACTACTTACAGCTTCTTACAGGTTTTCTGGTTCAGCTTGTCTCCAGATGGCTTTTTAAAAATAAATGCTAAGGTGCTTGCTCTAGCTCATCATGTACTTGAGCTACCTGTATGCCCCCCTTGGGTCTAGAGCGCTGTACTCCCTAATTGGGCCTCGTGAATAGATGGCTGCCCTAGCAGAACATGTGCAGGTGAAATGGAGACACGCTCTGTGGCTTTGCTAGCCTGTTAAGTCTAGTCCTGAACTGATGGAAGCGGGTCACCTGTGAGTCAGTGTGCCTGCTTGTCTCCTGCAAAGTCAATGTGGGCAGAGGTTGGAGGGGTTCTGATCGATTATGCTTAGATACCACTGTATTTTTTATATCAAAGAACTGTTGTATCTTTTTGTGAATACTCTTGTATAAATACACTCAGAGGCACTGTCTTATTTTTAGGGCTTGTATTATAATTTGTAAGGTTTTATGCTGGATTCTGCATGGCTAGAGATACTCTTGGAATGAAGAAGACAGGGCTTGCTCTTTTTTCCAAATATGAGCAGCCTTCATAGAAGACAGGTTTATTATTGGCTTGGTCAGAAAGTAACAGAAATGGTCACACTGATCATGCATTGAAACAGGTTTTGTGCAAATCAATGTTTCTTATTTATTGCTTTTGTAAATTGAATAAAAATGGACTTTTATGTAAATAGATGCTAAATCCTATATTATCATGCCTAAAAATTAGTATGTAAAGAATGCACTCATTATAACTTTAAAAATATTTTATGTATTTCTAGATCTGACTTAAATTTAAAATTTCAGTTTTCATACATTATGAAAACATAACTGCATATTCCTTAATTGCTTCAGGCTAAACACATATCCATTATATGTACTTCTAATAACCTTTTAACAGTATTAATTTAGCTTGTTTGTACTGTGCAGTTTGAACAAAGGAATGCAATGTTATTTTTTACAGAAACAGACTTGTTTATTTTTATAAGAACAATGTATTTGATGTGGACCAAATTCATACCACTATGTAAAACAACCTTTCTCCTCATAGTGCAGTTACGATTTAGAAATAAAACTCGGTCCTTATCCTTCCTTGCCTTTTAAAGTATATGGCTAGTTTCAGTTGTCCTATCCAGATTTCCTTTGAGGGGAAACTCAATACCATTTTGAAATTGTTTAGTTCAGAATTCATCAGATTGTTTTAAATTATTGAGTTTGGTAATTTACTATCTTTACTTTTTACAAGTGCAATAATTTCACATACAGAATCTCCTGAATGGATGGAATATGTGATTATTGGAACCTGGTCCTTCTGGTGCTACTTGTATTTAAGCCTTTGTTTTAAACTACCTTTCCCTGAACCTTAAGATAGGAAATAACTTCCCATGTGAGTACATGCAGCCCAGCAAGAAACTAAACTGACATTTCTTCTCCTGTCCTAGTCCAGGGGGAGAACTACTAGCATTATTTTTGTGTTTGGTGTGAATATTCAGTCAATAAAATATTTACCACCATAAACAGCTGTGATCTTTTCAAATATCCTGACATTCTGCTGGGTTCATCTTGCATTCTTAAAAGCAGGTCACCAAGAAGTTGACTGTATTCCTGTGGTTAATACCACGAATGAATCTTTTCTCCCAAAAAATACTTGTCTTTCAACTAATGGAAATGGTGCCCAAGATAAAAAAAATTGGTAGGTTTACAGAAAATTCTCTGTGGTAATTTGTATATACATTTAAAAATTCGTATTTTATTTAGCCTTGTTTGGTTCACATATCAACTGTTTAAGCCATAATTTTAGCCAATGAATTTAAGTATTCAGTATGACTATTTTTAAGTTTAAATTACTTGCTGATACCAAAACAAGAAGTCATTTGGAGGTAGAGTCCATCTTTGCTTGTAATTAAAAAGTTGCTGCTATGTCTGTAATATACATTTTCTGGATTTTTTTACTTGGTAAAAGGTAATAAAACCATTACCTGAACTTTTGTTTATTCATCGTCTCAGGTTAACAGCAAGAAGTATATGTACTAACAACCAAAGAAATTCTTTTCATTAGATAATTCTGCCTCTTAGAATTTTCCTTATGAAATAGCTGGAACCCATACAGATTTAAAATTTATATGCAGAATTATTTAGAATAGGGGCATCAAGAGTTGGCAGCATCCTAGCTGCTGGAGAAGAGAAGACTGGAAGAGACAATCCATGATAATGACTTGGAAAATATTCAAAATATAAAAATTATGTCCTATTTGATTTTCATCAACAAAACTGTGTGTGTAACTATAGAGGAGACTTAACCATCAAAATAGGTGGACTTAAAAATGATTTTGATGAAAGCAACCTAAGTGTCCATCAACAGATGAATGGATAAAGAAGATGTGGTCCGTATACACAATGGAATATTATTCAGCCAAAAAAAATAAAAAGGCCTGCCATTTGCAACAACATGGATGGATCTAGACAGTAGTATGCCCAGTGAAATAAATAAGCCAGAGAAAGATAAATATCATATGATTTCACTTATTTGTGGAATGTAAAAGCAAAACAGAAGGAACAAAACAGACTCATAGACACTGAAAAGTGACTGGTGGTTACCAAGGAGGATGAAAGGGCAACAACAACAACAACAAAGATTTTTTCCTTTTTCCTATTGACATAAATTTGTTTTTGTTCCCTGGGGAATTGCCTATTCTGGATACTTCATATAAGTAGAATCACATAGTACAGCACAACTGTTTCCGTCTTGCTTTGCCTTAGCATGAAATCTTCAAGGTTCAGCTTCATATTATCAGTACTTGATTCCCTTATAAGGCTGAATGATATTCTGAAATGTTATGGATATATACATTTGTTTATCCACTTATCAGTTAAGGAACATCTGGGTGGTTTCCACTTTTTGAATGTCATGAACAATGCTACCATGAACAGTCACATTAAAGCTTCTGTCTTAAGTTCTCTAAGAATGTCAGTGCTAGGTCATAATGGTTAATTTTTTGAGGAAATCCCTAATAACTATTCCAGAGTGCCTGTGCTGTGCCGTTTCTTTTACATTTCTGCTAGCAGTGGAGACAGCTTCCAGTATCTGCCATCAATACTTGTTATTGGCTATTTTGGATTATAGCCATATGAGGCAGTTATGAAGTGGTATCTCATGTTTAGATTTGTATTTCCCTATAGCCAATGTCTTTTGTGTGTCTTTGGAGAAATTGCCTATTTACATCCTTTGCCCATTTCACAATTGGATCGTCTTTTTGTTGGTTTGCAGAAGTCCTTTATATATTCTGGATATTAGACCTTAATCAGATAAATGACTTGCAAATACTTTATCATTCTAAAGGCTTATCTTTTCACTTTCATGATTCTGTCCTTTGTATTTACCCAAATGAAATACTTTCACGCTTCAATCTTTTCATTGGCTGCTTATGCTTTTGGATCTAAGAAACCGTCTAATCCAAGTTACGAAGATTTATGTCCATATTAAGATATGCTTTTATCTCCTATGTTAACGCCCTTGATCCATTTTGATTTAATTTTTGTATATAATGAAGTTGTAAGGTCTTTGTTTTTTTGTATGTGGGTAGTCAGTCAGTTGTCCCTGCACATTTTTTTTCCCCACTGAATTTTGAAAATCCATGGACTATAAATGTGTAGGTCTATTTCTGGACTGTTAATTATATTACATTGATCTATATGCCTGTTCTTAATTCCAGTACCACACTATGTTGATTACTGTTACTTTACAGGCAGTTTTAAAAGTGTGAGTCATTTGCTTTTTCAAGACTGTTTTGATGCTATTCTGGGTCTCTTGAGTTTCCCTATGAATTTTAGGTATCAGCTTGTCATTATCTGTGTGTGCACACACACAAGGAAGCAGGATTTTGATGGGTTATGTTCATTCAACCTGTAGATCAATTGGGAGAGTATTTTCATCTTAATATGAAGCCTTCCAAATCTATGAACACTGGATGTCTTTTTGGTTATGTGCATAATCTTGTACTATTATTAAGCTTCCTAAGTATTTTTCTTAATGCTATGGCAAATAGGCTATCTAGAAATGTAACTGTTGTATATTGATATTGGCTCCTACACTATTGCTCTACTCATTTGTTATTAACTAATAAGGTTTTTTTAATGGATTCCTTAGGATTCTCTCATGTGGAGGATCATGTCATCTGCACCTAGAGGTTATTTTCTCTGCCTTTCTAGTCTGGATGTTTCTTGCCAAACTGCTCCAGCTAGAGCTTCTAATAATAGTGTTAAATACTATACTCTATTGGAGTGAACCATGGACATTCTTGTTGTCTTTCTGATCTTAGAAAGCCTTCTTTGTTTCATAGATGAGCTTTGTCAAGTGGAGACAGTTCCCTTCTGTTGAGTGCTTTTATCATGAAAAAGTGTCAGCCTTTGTCAAAAATTTTTTTGGCTTCATATGGTCATTAATTAACATGGTGTATTACATTGATTTTTCAGATGTTTAACCAATGTTGCATTCCTGGGATAGATCCCACTTTGTCACTGCAAGGGCCAAACTTACTTAAGAGAAAAGCACTATCATGTTATAGTCTTAGAAATCAAGTAAGACAGTAGCATCAAGTAGTATAAAAAACACATTCAGGGGCATAAATTTGGCTTTGGCTCTTAAGGCAAAAGTGTATTAGGAATAGAAGTTGTTCAGCTGCTTTACCTTTGTACTGAACTGTTTGAAGGGAATTCACTCAGAAAGCAAAACAGCTTGCACAGAGGTCATGCAATGCTCAGTTGCATGCTCTGAGAGTGGCAGTGCCCTTCTGTGGAGGTCACTCTGGCTCAAAGAATTTCTTCTTCCTGTCCTCCTATTCCCCAGTGAAAGAACATCCTTCTTCACTAGCACTTCGGTGACCTCCAGTGGAGAAGATTAAGACTACTAAATACACTGAAGCTCAATATTTACCAAGTAGGTCATGAATTTCTGTGAAGTTTAGATGCACAGTTTCATTACCTGATAGAAAAGATTTCCATGTTAAGTTTTGATCACATGACCTATTAAAACAGCACTTATACCCCCATGAGTCATCTTAGGTCTTTTAAAAGTTTTTTTAGAGGGTTTAAAAGGTTCTGGACTTGAAATAACCCCTCAAATAAGGGTATAAAAGAGAACATACAATGTATTTTTTTTTCTGTTGAAGATACTAACTAGTATGTTAAAAGGTTTTTCAGTACCATCGTTAAGGCAACAATTAAGTCAGCAAAACAAGAAAAGATATGGACAGACATCTTCATCCTTCCTACAGCTTCATGAGGTAGTGGCCTGGCTTATGGCCCCCCTCAGTGGTAACATTTTAGGAATTCTGTCAAGCTATGCAAATACTTGATGGCAACATTCTTAGGTCCAACACAATGTAAGAAGTCTCTTGAAAATCATTTTCCCCAAATGTGCAGTACTGTTAAATTATATAGGAAATAATGCATTAATTAGAAATGAATTTATTCAAATGATGAATTACTAGAGTTCTTTAATCCCAGAGGATACTGATCTGACTTTGTGTGTTAACAGAACCATAAATACTGCAATTAATTAACCATTTCTGGCATTAAAACAAGCCCCCAAGAAGACTAAGTGTGCCAAGACTAGTGTGTATCTTTGTCACTGACCTTGCATGATATCAGCTTTTGAATATGAAAACCATGATTTGCCTATAAATTTCTAGTACTCTAACCACAGCAACAGAAATTACTATTTCTCCACAACTGTGATTCCATACGAGGTATACACACTGCAAACTTTATATATTGCCTGACACATTCAGAAATGATCTCACTTCACAGATAAATGTGGCAGGGGCCAGGCACTTGAAACTAGTACTATATTGTTTCTATAAAGGCTGACAACCACTCCTGTGTCCATGCACGTGACAGCCAGCATGTTGTTACTCAGCTTTGGCTGCAGCCCTGCTGTCTGGGAGCCCAGGCATTGCTTAAATGAGTTACAATAAGAGGAGCATGATTGAGAAAGCACATTGTACACTTTACACAAGCAGCTTCAAGAAGAATTTCCTCCTGTGATGCACATTTTGTGGCTTTTCTTTAAAATCTTTTTCTACCCTATGCTTGCTAAACTCAAAATTTGTCTGACCTAATAGAAAAAAGCAGAATTCAGCACTGATTTCACCAGACCCTTCCACTCCTGTGATACACCTCACAAGTTACACAGCCATCCATCTTCCTTAAAATGAAAAGCACCTTTAAGTCCTAGAGCTGCCATGCAGGATCTGAAAACTAGCAGCCACAGGTATAGATAGAGGTCTCATTCCAGTACAAGCCACACTCTCAAGTCCAAGCTCTGCTGGACAGTAAGTTTCTAAGAAACTAAATCTGTTCAACTAGTTGGAAAACAGACAAAAATAGGACCCAGTGCATCAAAATTACATCCTAATGGATTAACCTAGGATAACAGAAGACTCCTATAAAACCAACAGAATAAATATTTGGAAATGCCCAGCCACTTACAACCATCCCTCACCCCACTCTGTTCCCACCCCAGAATACCCACCAAAGCAACTCTGTGCTCTGAGGAAGGAAGTTGTGGTTGTATACTTAAATAATATTCTGAACTAAGAACCTGTCAAAACCCATAGGGAATAAATGGGTTTTGGCCAAACGTTCCTCTTCTCAAACTGTTAAGGTGGAGAGAGGAACAGACGTGTTGCAGCCATTGAGAACAACCTCAGAAAAGTATCACAACAGTGGACCTCAAGCCACTGTTAAGGCATCACAACAGATGAAAACCCCACTCTTAAGGCTCCCTGAGGCAGCACAAACTCAGGCCTCAAGGAATCATTACTTCAGTGAATGGTGTTCTACCTGTCAGCCACTAACACAATAAATGGGCTTTAATTGGAAAATGTCATTTTTCTCATTCACAACAGTCTTACAGTACCTTCCACGTTTTTCATGAGTTTCTAAGGTGACAACTATTGAAGTGGCTTGGGTTTTGTCCTTAAGGTCATGTAAAATGGTTTATGTGTGTAGTGGCAATACCCACATGTGCTTAAGTGCTAGAAAACTGGCATTTTCAAGTATCAACAAGGCCATGCATCACTATCCCATAGCAAAAACATTATAGTGCTTGGCCTTGATGAGTATTAGCCCACAAAACTACTTGAACATATGCTCATTAGAATTCATTGACTTACATTACAAGCATCCATGTAACTGAGGGAGAAACTATGTCACATGGAGTATCCCTGTATTAAAACACAAAGAGATTGTAGGTGCACACCCAGGCAGAGGGAAATGTCCAATCTGGGAACTTCTCTTTCAGGGTATCCAGCCGGGAGGATCTCTTGTCTTCCCCAGAAAAATAGTGGGCAGCAATGGCCACGGTGACCATTCTTTCAGGTTGTTCTTCCAACACCTGGCAGAGAATATTAGTTAGCTCTCTAGCTCTACAAAGGCAGAATACTAATCCCAAGGTTCTTGCTAAATACGACCTGGAGAGGTAATCAATGATACCGGTAGTGCTGGGAAATTCCTACCTGTACTTCTATCCAGAACTGCCATGCAGAGGCCTGGAGTCCATGCGAGTAAAATACAAAGTAGTCCCCTCCTTTACTTGTGACAGGGGTGCCGTTGCCAAAAGACCACTGAGAAAGTGTTGACCCTTTGTGGGTTCGAACATAGAATGACATATGGCTTGGTCCTGTAGGATAAAAGAAAGAACAGTTAAAATATAGCAACAAGAAAAGTAACTGACCTGAAATAAGCCAGGTGGAGAAAGGCAAGTACCAAATGATTTCACTCATCTGTGGAGTATAAGAACAAAGCAAAAACTGAAGGAACAAAACAGCAGCAGACTCACAAAATCCAAGAATGGACTAACAGTTACCAAAGGGAAAGGGACTGGGGAGGAAGGGTAAGAAGGGAGGGAGAAGGAGGAAAGGGGGCATTATGATTAGCACACATAATGTGGTGGGGGGGCATGGGGAAGGCAGTACAACACAGAGAACACAAGTAGTGACTCTATAGCATCTTACTATGCTGATGGACAGTGAATGTAATGGGGTGTGGGGGGACTTGATAATGGGGGGAGTCTAGTAACCACAATGTTGCTCATGTGAAACCTGAGTATAGGATTGTTTATCAATGATACCTTAATAAAAATAAATAAAAGCAACTGACCCACCACCAAACCATGCTATGAGGTTCATGCCTTATGTCACTTTAAAGACAATCACCACAAACTTAAGGGACATTTAACACTATGTATCAACAAGGATAAGTAATGAGAAAAAGGCACCGAATTCACAATGTGAAAACCTATGTTTAAGTCTTGGCCCTGCCATTTAAACATACAAAAACGTAGTACTTGTGAGCCCGTCTTCAGAAATCTAGAGAAAAAACTTCATATGACCAAGAGATAACTGAAAAACTCCATAAGACCTAGAAAATGAGGGTTTTAGTATACCCAAATATTACTAAGACAGTCAGATAAGGGTGGAAACTCATGCACAATTGTTGTAGGTAACAAATTTTGAGAGGGAAAGAAAACAAAAACTTGTATTGGCTAATAATGAGAGTTAAAGAATGCCATTTAAAACAGTTTAAACAATAGGTCATCAAAACAAAAATATAAACCTTAAGTGCCCAAAAAGTTATTCAAAGAGCAAAGACATAATTATAAAATACTCTGACAAGTTGAGACCCAATGTTACGAGTCATACAAAATAAATTTTAATTGACCTAATTCAGCACTAAAAGAAAAATTCTCCACTTGGCTTACAAAATCAGATCTTCAAGAAACATACTTCAGAAAGGATAAAAATAAAGGTATGAACAAAGATATCTGAGGCAAGTGCACACACAAAAAAATCTCTGATATTAGAAAACAAAACGAAGACAAAAAGCATTAAAACAACTTTTTAAAACTAAATTCATAATGATACAAATATTATGAATCTAGTGTTCCATAAAAGAGCAACCACTTTATGAAGTAAAACTATAGGGAGATATAACATGATTATACATACACGTAGAAACTAAGACTAATATTCTACTCTCAGTACAAGACATATCAATTGAACAAAAAATGATATAAAAGACCTTTATAAAACATTTACATAAAAAGGGTCAGTTGAAGTAGATAGTATGTAAAACTTTACATACTAATAATACAGAACATACTGAGTTGGGCATGAAAGAAAGTATTGGATCAAACAGTTAATACCAGTTCTATAAGATTACCAGTAACACTTTGATCATAATCCAATAAAATTTGAAACCAACAAACTAAAATGGTCTATCTGGAAATGAAAAGGTCATCTTACTTCAAAGATTCAGGGTGAGAAAGGAAAGAAAACTGGAGCAGTTTCTTAAAATACAAATTCTATGTATCAGAAACAAGTACATGCAGAACAGTGATAAGAGGAAAATAAATAGCAATAAAAAATTTTCAGTAAAATAAAAATGACAAGTAAAAAGGACAACAAAAGTAACCAAAAAAATCAGAAATCAAATTGAGAACAGAATACAGCAGACCAATCAATCAAAAATGTTATTTTCTTCATCTGGCTTTGAAAATCAGCAAGGCTTAACTCTAGAAGAAGCTGAGGGCTGTAGGAAACTTAAACTCTGATCTTAAAGTGTCTCCACGGACTCATTCACTCCCAGACCCAGCACAGTGTCAACAGTCCCAACCAACAGTGTGCCGACAGCAGTTGTGTACCAGTCACAACAGCAGGATGGCATGCAGCCCATGCAGGGGACACCCCTGGAACAATCAGTTGTGGTGGGAGGGAGGCATTGTGCTTCTAGACCCCACAGGACATGCTCTACATAAGGCCGCCAAGATCAGGTGACATGGCTGTCCTACTGACTACATAATACAGAGAAACAAGAGTCAGACAAAATGAGACAGAAGAATATGTTCCAAACAAAAGATAAAACCTCAGGAAAAAAACAGATGAGCAGTATACCCAATTGAGAGTTCAACAAAACTGTCATCATAGATGCTCACTGAACTTGGGAGAAGAGTGGTTGATCTCAGTTGAGAACTTCAACAGATAGAAAATCTAAAAAAAAAGAACCAAACAGAGCTGAAAAATACACAAGGAGGAATCAACAGCAGATTAGAGGATGCAAAAGAATGGATAAGTGATCTGGAAGACAAGGTAGGGGAAAACAAGCTCAACAGCAAAGAGGAAAATAATTTTAAAATATGTGAACAAGTTAAGGGACCTTTAGGACAATAAGTATAATATGCACATTACAAGAGTACCAGAAGGAGAAACAAAGGGGCAGAAAATTTATTTGAAGAAATAATAGCTAAAAATTTTATGAACCTGCAGAAGGAAACACACAGATCCAGGAAGCAAAAGTACCCCAAGCAAAATAAACCCAACAAAGTCCATACAAATATACATAATAGTTAAAATACCAAAAATTAAATAGCAAGAGAATCTTAAAAGCAGCAAGAGAGAAGCAAACAGTTAAATACAAAGGAAAACCTCATGACATTATCATCTGGAAAAAAAAAAAATCTACAACCAAGAATACTGTACCCAGCAAGATTATCTTCCAGAATTGAAAGAAAGTCTCCCAAATGAAGGTCAAGGAATCCACCACTAAACGTGCCATACAAAAAATGTTGAAGGGACTACTTTAAGCAAGAAAAGACCTTAAGAAGCAGTTAGAAAATTAAAAGAAAAGCTTTGGTAAAGACAAATATATAAGGTAATAATCAGTCACTTAAAAAACTAGTGTAATGGTTCAAGACAAAAGTAAAATCAGTTCTATCTACAATAATTACAAGACACAAAATAAGACGTGGAATATGTCAAATAAAATGTGGAGGAGGTAAAAAATGTAGTGCTCTTATTAAATGTTAGAAATTAAGTGACCATCAACTTAAAATATACTGTACATACATAAGGTGTTACCTATGAATTTCATAATAACCACAAACCAAAACCTTTAATAGCCAAAAAAAAGGAACCCCCCAAGCATAACAATAAAGTCATCAAATCACAAGGGAAGAAAGCAAGAAAGGAACTAAAAAACCACCTGAAAACAATCAACAAACTGGTTATCAGTACATACTATCAATAATTACTTTAAATGTAAATGGACTAAGTGCTCCAGTCAAAAGACACAGGGTGGATTAAAGGGTAAAAATAAGACCCATCTATATGCTTTAGGTTAAGACTCAATTGAGACCTAAAGACATACAGACTGAAAGTGAAGGGATGGAATATTCCATACAAATGGAATCAAAACAAAAGCTGAGGCAACAATACTTACATCAAATAAAATAGACTTCAAAAGACTAGCAAGAGAGAAAGGCATTATACAATGATGAAGGGATCAATCCAACAAGATGATAAAACAATTACAAGTATGTACCCACAATAGGAACATCTAAATACATAAAATAAATATCAACAGCTATAAAGGAGTTGACAGTAATATACTACTAGGAAAGGACCTTAACACCCCACTCACAGAGTAGATAGATCACCCAGACAGAAACTCAATAAGCAAATAGCTTTGAATGACACTTTAGACCAGAAGCACTTAACAGGTATTACAGCCAAAAACAGATTACACATTCCTTTCAGGAGAACATGGAACATTCCTCAGAACAGATCACAAAACAAGTCTCAATAAATTTAAGATATAAATTGTATCAAGCATCTTTTTTGACCACAGTGGTATTAAATTAGAAATTAATTATAAGAAAAGAAACTGGAAAACAAAAACAGGTAGAAGCCAACCAATGGATAAATACAGAAGACATCAAAAAATACTGGAGACAAACGAGATGGAAACAGAATGTTCCAAAATCTTCAGAACACAACAAAAGCAGTTCTAAGAGGGAACTTTACAGCAATAGAGTCCCTACCAAAATAAAAAGCTCAATCTAAACTTACACCTAAAGGAACTAGAAAACGAACAAAAAACAAAACCCTAAGTAAATGGAAGGAAGGAAATAATAAAGACTAGAGCAAAATAAATACAATAGAGATTTAAAAGACTACAGAAGAAAGATGGAGGAATAGGAAGACAAGACAGAAACCTCCTCCTGAAACCACCACATAGAAGAGGAAAAAACAGCAAATTCAACTAGTCCTGAAAACGACCTGAAGACTGCAGAACAGGTGGCAGATACCTCCCCAACCGTTCCTTGGCCCAAAAGGTCAGTAACTCTCGGGACCTCCAGATGCTCCATCCCCACTGCTGGCAGTACAGCCCCAAGGCTCCCCCTGCACCTACTTCCGACAGACAACCTGCTTGACCCAGCAGCAGTATCTGACTTTGCTGCCTGCCTGGCAAAGGGAGTCCCTCCCAGCTTGCCTGGCTCCATTTCAGCCCTACCAGAGGTGCCTGGAGGAGCCAGGCCCAAGAGCTCCTTCCTCCCTGCAGGTGTCCAAACCCGGTGCTGTGTATCCAACTGGGGCACATTGGTCTGCCCACCCCATTAACCCTGCAGCCCTACCATAACCCTGCAGGCCAGGAAGAGGGCAGCCCCACCCACACCAAACAAAGATTCCTGAGCTGATCACAAAGGCAGCAGCTCAAGCAAACTGCGCACCCAGACTCAGACCACTACAGAAGCCAGACAGGAAGGCACCCCACCCATGACACACCAACAACCGGGGACCCACAGAACAGAACCAGACACTGGAGAATAAAGAATCTTGAGCT